AAATTTAAGTAAGTGAATGGATTTGGGTGGATTAACTTTCAGATATGATAGAGCATTTTTGATAGGTCTGAGGCGGACTTGCCAAATGTTTATTGGCGATTAATAGTATAATTGTTACAGCTTAACAATCTAAAAAATTTGATTGTTGTTTTGCAAAAAAGCAAATTTTTTAAAAACTTTGGTTTTATAGTAATTAATTTTATAAATCTTCAATTTAATTTGAATATAATCTAGATTAGTCTTATTTTCTTGAAGAAAACACAATAGGTACATTACTTTGGGCACATTAGGGAAATGACTGATTGGCATTATTAAATAAACTGCAGTCATGCTTAGCAGAAATAATGTTCTCTTGTTTTACAGGCATGTTCAGTGTCAAATGGGTTCAGCAGTTCATCTGTATGAATGCTGCGGTGTCAGCGGTACCGAATGTTGTTTCAGACTTCAGCCAGTAGTCATTGCATATGGTGGAGCTGTAGTACTGGTCACAATTATTTCGATCATTTTTAGCTTGCTGCTCAAATATAACATCATTTGTCCGGTGAATCCCGATCATCAGGATGTCGAATATCAAGATATCTCAAAAGTTACATCATAATTGTATGGGAATACTTATTCTTAGGCGATATACATGGTGAAGACATTGTCAAGAGAAACTTCGTTTTCTTTTCTCTTTTATGATTTTTTTTCTTCACAATTTTGCTTTTTCAGAATGAATTTGATTGTGTTATATATGTGGTTTTAACGGGTATTTGAGGTACTTTTGACACAATTATATTCTTTGTTTCTGTTTTTTTTCCACTTTTTTTCTTTGTAGGCAGCTTTTCATAAATAGACATAGTTTCACGTATGATAAGGTGAAAAAAAAAAGGTTTAGTTTGCTGAATCTTTGCTTCATTGATTGCTATTGTTAGTTGTTTTTCAAAAAATTTGCTGGTGTTTTGCTCAATATTTAGTAATAATAATAGTAACATTGGTTGTCATAAAGATTCAGTCTTCTAATTTTAATTATTTTGCTATCTCTTCGGAATTACTTTTAGTTCTGTTGAAGCTGTATTTTTGAGTCGTTACTGTGATGCCAATTTGTCTACTTTTTTTTCATGCTTTTTACAGTTACATGTTTTTTTTTTCCCTTCTGAATGTTTTTCTATCTGCAAAGCTAACTTTTGAGAAATCAATTGTGACAATTTGGTATGTTTGTTGGTGTCATCAGAATAGTAATTAACTTATAACTAGAGAAGAGTTATTGGTTGTACAAAATTTTTAGCTAAATTAATCTGTAAAAAGTAGGTGAAAAGAAGCTTTATTTAACGCCCGCTTCTTTATTTGCTACTTTAAATGAAAAAAAAAAAAAGCTATATTAGATCGTAAAGAGTTCGTTTTAATTCAAATCAGCGTAGAAGAAAACACGTGATTTATATTTTTCTAATGTAGTCGTAAAATTATTTTGTTATCGTAGCTGTTCTTGTGGTTACGTTAGTAATATAAAATAAAAACTTTCAATCAGAAATTATTGTTGTTTGAAAGGTACCTGTACAAAACAACATTGTTGGTATTAACTCCTGGGTAGGTGAAGAAAGTGTTAAAAAAGTGACTGTAAAACGGATGTTTTTTCAGTTGAAGATGACAGAAGTGTTAGATGGAAGTGGAGCTGCATTAAATAATGATAACGAAAAATCAAAAAATAATCGGTATTTTGATGGACGGGCAGAAGTTTTGTTGGTTTCTTGTTACCATTTATCTGGAGTGTAGATGAATGAGAAAGTGCTACTTTTTTAAATAAATAGCTAAATAAGTAAAATAAAGAGTAGGGAATGCATAGGGATGGACGTCGTTGGATTTGAATTGTTGAGCAATTTTTTTGTTGCAGATCGTCTTTAAAAATTCGACTTATTAGCTTGGCAATTTCTGCTTTTATGATTGAAAGAAGAAGCCCATAAAAACTGTCATTTGTCTAGCAGACTAATCAGACTATTGAATAATAATACGGTGATGACAAAGAATAAAAGTTAAATAGAACAACAGTTTTTCAGAGCTCTGTCATCTTTGGAACTCAGCAAACAGAAGTCTTCAAAGCCAAGTGGAAGACCTAACTAAGACAAATGGAAAAGAAGTTTGTTTTTTTCTGTAGTTTTTTAAAGGCTTAAAAATCTAAAAACTGAAATTCCACTTTTTGTCTGAAAAACAATGTCGTCAAAATTTTCACTCGGCAGAAGGAGGTCACAGTAAACGGCTGCGGAAAGAAGAAACTATTAGTTGAAAAATTTGTTGTGGCTTGTCAAAATCTGAGTAATATATTTGCGTAGTTGTATAGTTAATTATGAAACGATATAATGAGTATAGGCTTAAGGAAGATCATTGTTAAAAATAAAAAAAGCGAAATTTTTTAGTTTCAAGGTGTGTGTGCTCAATGCAATTCTAACTTAGTGATGCGGCAAGCAAGTTTTCTTCGCCAGTTTATCTGTAAAATTTTATCTCACTTTTTCTGTTTTAATATGGCTATTAGATCATAAAATTGAGTACTCTGTACAACAATAAACAGTTATTTACGGTAACTTTTCTAATAAACTTTGTACTACAGAAAGATCAGAAACCATGATTTTACAATGCATAACTTAAACCGCTTGGTAAAAACTTATTTTGAGAATAGAATTAATAAATAGTTTTAATGGTTGACAAGGAAAGTAGGCAAGATTTCTCCTTAAAAAATGGTTTTTGTGAGTGTACACTCTTTACTACTTTAATCGTAAAAATTTTCTTAAACAGTTTTTCGTTACAAAGAAAATAATGGATTTACACAGTAAACTCTTATCAGTTAACCTTATTTTTTTTTTTTTTTGCAGAAGTACATTAACTAATAAGATTTCAACCAGTGGGGTTTAATTATTATATCAAAAAAAAACTAGATTGAAGCTGTTTAAATTAGAAGAAGATTCAAAATTTCTTCTGTTGTTCTTGCCGCTTTTGAACTTCTATATATATAAATATATATAATCTCAAAAAATCAGTTTTATCGCTTAAATGTCTAAAATTTTGCTTAAATCAGACTACCTGAGACAAGTTTTTAATGGTTTTTTCCAAACTGGTTTTATCTCAGTCAATACTGATTTACTTGGTCATTTGTTTTTTGACTGACCACATATGAGTGCTTAAGCTGTTCCCTACTGTTATAGCTTAGTATACAATAAGTGATTGTTACGAGCAGTAAACTGTAAAGAAGTTTTAAATTATTTATTTGTACTTTAGAATGTTTTTAAAAAAATTGAGACTGTTTTTACATGGCTGTGAATTATGGCGCTGTCAATGATATTGTATAAAAAATTTTCAATTTTTAGTAGAATTTTTTTCCTTACTAGTCAGTAAATTAGTCAAAATTTATGTAGTTTATTCTGTGTTCTCAACAAAAATGATTAAAAAAATAAAATTAATTTGAAATTTTTTTCTACTTTTATTATAAATAAATTTTTGAAACAAAAAGAAGGCCTGTAAAGCTCAGATGCGTAAACTGATAAAGTAAAATAGGCTGATCAGACATTTTCTTTTTTTTATAGCCGAGAAGAAAGTAAAATTTTATGAAATTCATTTGTGATAGTAACCTGTTTATCGACTTTTGAAACCTATTTAGGGAAAGAAGAACAAAAGAGTTAAGGTGGAAGGGAGTTGGGAAGTTGGGAAACGGATAGATTGAAGATATAGAGAGTCAGAAGCGGAGAAGAACGGCAGTAAATTAGTTATTTGCTTTATACTTGTTTTCTTTGCTAAACAGTTGATGCCTTGCTTCAGAAATTAGCAAACAGTTTACCTCATCTTTGAGTCATTTTTAATAATAAAGTTGCTAATAGCAAAAGATTAAGTTAGTTGAACATGTATAGATGGCTTAAGTTAAGTAATTTTGTTCACATGTTTAGCACAATGTGCTCATTGTCAAGCTAAATAAAATTCTCCTAAATAAATTAATTGTTGAGTTCTGTTTGACTAATTAAAAATGACAGCAGTAGTTTCTTAAAGATAATAAGTGACAGAATACTTGAGCCGTATAACTTTTAAGAGAAATAATTACCAAAGATCTAAGCAATAGTTCCAATAGTCGATATGTTCAAGTGTCTTAAACCAAATTAAGTTTACTAGTCAAGTGAGTTCTATAAACTGCAACAGTATCAAGCAACAAAAAAAAAAATTATTAAAAATTTTAAGCAAAATCAAGTTTGTTAGTGTTTAGTTTCTTGATAGAATTTGCAGAAAAGTTCATAGGAGAGAAGGAGAAGAGGATGAGACAAAAGCTTTATAGTGAAAACTCATTCCTTCTTTCAGTTAATGTTCGTTATTTACTGCTCATTTGTTAACCATAAAAAGGGTTAAATTGACATTTTATACTGTTTCTGTCAAAATTTTAACAGCGCCAAGATTTTTTGTTACTTTGGCAATAAAGAAAATATGGTGTCTATTATTTACCACTGAAAAATCAAACCATTTTTCTAATGGTCTGTTTGATCATATAGTTCTCTTAAAAACACAAATCATAAATTTTCGCAGTAAAAAAAATTTGTTGTTCTTTCCTCAATTTTGTTTTGTGCTGCTCCTCTGTGACAGAAAATTAAAGTATCATCTTAACGTGAGAAATGATGTAGTTTGAAAAACATTTTAATAAGCGAAAAAGCACCGCTGTATGCTAGAAGACTTCAAAGACTTATTTTTTTGATTTAAATCTTAAAGTGCCGTCCTATAGACAAAACATTGTTGTTATGTTTTCAAAACCTGAAAATAGCAGCTCAAAACCAAAAGTACCATACTTTATCTTTTTTCTTTAGACAGTTACCATACAATTGCAAAAAGATAAATAGCTAAGTAATCAAAGAAACATGTATTAACATTGGCTTCAGTTCTTTTTCGTTTCAATTGTATTTCAAGGAAAGGCTATATTATTTCGTAGGTGACAATCAGTTAGATGTGGGAAAAGTATTAATGGCGTAAGGTCTTTGTCTGTTTCTTTCTTCTTTAGAAATAACTCAATGAAAGCTATAGATTCTACCGCAACTTAAAGTTTGAGACAAGATTGTTGATTTGCACTCTCGCCCGCACTTGAATCTGTAGTTTTCCGTATGAGGCTAGTGGCGAAAGTTTAAATAGTGTCTCCTACATATTTCTGTCAAGAACATCTTATACATTCAGAAGACTGCATTTGCACCAATTTTATTTTCCGTTTTTTTTTTTCCTTTTTTGTTTTATGCTCAACGTACTTTCGTTCGCTGTCTGGAGCATCTGCGTGTTTGTTCATTATTGTTTTTCAAACTTCTAGTTTTTTATGTACTTTCTCAAATAATTATTTTTCTCAAGAAGTCATTTTTGGTGTTGATGTTATGCATTAGAGAACATCATTTGAGCAAATGGAAACTTAAGAAGGTAAAGATAAAACAGCAGTTGTGTTTCTAATGTTATGACGGCTAAACTAAGCGAAGTTAGAAACTTCACGTGCAAGAAAGGTATAGCGGAAACAAGACGCGTCTTAAAGTGGTATTATAAACTACAACAACTTCTGAAACTTTTATATAAAATTTACTGAAAGCTTTTTGACCAAAAATAATCTTGTAGCATCGGTCA